GGGGGGGGGCGACTGTGGGAAGAGGGGATTCAGGAGTCTATGGTATGAACTGGGTGCATGAGGACAGGCAGGTGGTGGGGGCCAGGTGAAGGGTGGGGCGGCCACTGCTGATGTATTTTAAGGAGGCTAGTATGACGTCTGGCTCAGCAGTTCAAAGGCCCCATCTCTGCATCTTCACTGAAACTTTAAAGTATAGAATACGGTCAAAATTGCTGTGAGTGGCGTTCAAGGCCATTTCAATTCACACTGACCCCATGTGACAGGGTAAACTTCACCTTGGGGTTTCCAAGGCTACAATCTTTATGATAGCAGCTGCCACGTCTTTCTCTGGAGGAGCAGCTGCTACGTTTCCCAAAGCACTTGGCCACTGTTCCAGCAGGGATCTAGTCAACAAATACAATACCCCCACCTAGTCCTGGTGTGGCGCTGTGGGTTAATGCGCCAGACTGCCAAGCCATGTGAACTGCAAGGCGGCAGGTCAAACTCACCAGCTGCTCCTCGGGAACCCTATACAGGGTTGCTATGGGTGGGAACTCTATGGCACTTAACAACAACAAAACCAGAAAAGAGGAGCCCTGGCTAGCAATTTGAATTCACCCTGCAGTGCCGAGACAGAAAGGCCTGGCAACCTGGTTGCATAAAAATCACCACCAAGAACACCCTATGGGGCAGCTCTACTCTGTAATACACGGGGGTACCAGGAGTTGGAGTTGACTTCACAGCAACAGGTTGGGGTCTTTCTGTCTGAGTCTGTGGGAATGAGGACTAGCTTGGCAATGCTGTGTTCTCTTTTACGTAAGGTTGTTATGAGTCAAAACTCACTGGATGGTACTGACAACAGCAAAATGAATAACTAGGACTCCAATCATGTCTAATGAGCAGGAAAGTGGCCCAGCTCAACCGTGGAGGGAAGTTTGGGGAATGTTTTGTGCCTCAAACGCGGTAGCTACATGGGGTCATCAAGTGGATTCTTGTCTGTGGGGCTCCCAAAGGAAGAGAAGTGGGGTGCCTTCTCAGGTCCCCAAGTACCTGTCTTGAACATTATTAAAGAGCTCTGGAACCCTCCTGCTGAGAAGTTCTCAGCCAAAGGTCCCCACACAGGTGGGGCCAGGGGAGAGCCAGTAGCTACCTGGGGAAGGCAGGCCTCAAAATCTGCCTGTGGCTCAATCTTCCAAACCACCAAGCTTCCGGGGACCTGGGGCTGCTGCCTGTGAATGAGCTGGCTGGGAATAGTTCCAGGGACATCTACAGCATGAGGGGCTAACAGTGACTTTTACCATAAAAGAAGAACAAGCTGTATTTAACAAGAGAGGCAGCTGACTCATAGCCCTGAGCCCAAGCAGGATGGAAGACGCAGGCATTCTGTACATATGGAAGCAGGCATGGACCCAGGCTCACTGCTGCATGGGTCAGACTGTGGAGGACATGGCACCGTTACCTTGCTCCCCGATACAGCGTGCCCCTTGGGGACGCCCCAGACATCCAATTAGCTAAACCTGACAAGCACTGGTGATGTTCCCTTCAACTCCAGAGATTTGGAGGAGGTGGCAATAAGTCTCTTAAAGTATGAAAGAAGACTGAATATACTCCGGTCCCGTTCCCAGCCAGCACACCTCATTATTCACACACAGCTCATTCCCATCTCGCAGTAGAGGGTTGTGTGCTGCTGTCATGCAAAACAGGCTTCAGGGGTGCGTCCAGACTCAGAGAGACTAGGAAGAAAGGCCTGGTAATCGAGTCTCAAAAATCCACCCCTGGAAACCTTATGGATCACAACAACAGCCTGCAACCAACTGTGAGGCTGGCGGGGGGACTGGGCCACATTTCATTCTGTTGTGTGGGAAGTGGCCAAGTCAACAATATTTTAAATCATGACTGAAAACAAAACCACATGTTTCCAGACCTGCAGAGAGGATCCCAGTATCATTCTTATTTGAACTCTCAGGTAGAATCAAATATCTAATTCACTCCATCTGTTTAGAGATTTTCATTCCGGAACCACTACAGCTCACACTGAAATGAGACCATCAGCCCAAACATCACCCTTCCCTCTGATAAGATCATGGCTCCCCCAATAGCAAAATTCCCAAAGACACAAGAAAATAGCCTCTTCCGATACATTTCAGAACAAATGGAAGCTGGAACCGCATGCCGCTAAGAAAACCTGTGCTTCCAATACCACTTTCTAGTACTGGGAAGTGCTTTCATGATGATAAACAAAACGCTTTGTAAGAACCACCCCCACTTTCCTCTGAACCCACAGAGACTAAAAAAAAAAAGAATCCTAGCTGGATCTAATCTCAAATGCAGACAGTTCTGTCTGGTGGGACCACAGTGATGTCTAAACAATTTGTGCTGATATGTAGACATCGCCATGATTACAAATGGCTGTGTTTGAAAATTCAAGTCAGTCTAAATTGTGTACTAACTGGAAGTATGAATGAAGGTTTGAATCTTCCCAGAGACATCTCAGAAGAAAGACCTGGCAACCTACTTGTGAGCAGTTCACCGCTGAAGACCCTAAGTAGCACAGTTCTACTGTGACACATATGCGGTCGCCCTGAGTGGGAGTCAACTCCACGGTATCTGGTAGTGATGCCATCCTTGTCTGAATTTTACAAGCAGAGGCAAACATGGGTATGACTCTCAGGGTAAAACATACTTGCAATGTGAGCAACCTGAGGAGACTGTAGGAAGAGTCTCAGCACCCTACAGCAATGCCCTGAGACTCGTCCCACGAAGCTGCACAAAACTGAACACTGGTTCTGCAGAGTTCTGTGCTCATCCACAAAACGCTGCCTGCCACAATTAAACTATCTAACCCTCAACAGCTAATGTATCAACTCAGCCAGTATAAATCAAAAGCAGATCATGAGACTGGCAAGGAGTGGGAGAACATTTCATTGTAATAGATGAACGTAAGTTTCATGAGAAGAGGCAGGTAGGATGTGAAGAAGCTCAGCTGAGGGAGGCTGAAGACAGGCAGTGAGATGCTCTTAGGAAGGGAGGGGTCCTCTAGCCCTCCCTGCATCTTTTCCTCTCCTATAGTGACACCTACCCCAAAACAAACACAACAGGCTTGTTGCAGACATACATACAAGGAGACCATGAGTACATGTTTCTTGCTGCTAAAATTCTGTGCATGTGAAAGATGCAACGATTGTTAATAGACAAGTCAAAAACAGGCAGAGTTGACAAGTTTTTGAGCTCCATGAAAGGGACCACAGCTTTGAAAAAACACAGTCCTAACAGAAAAAGTAAGAGTGTCATCTAAGTCCAAGCAAGGTTACAGTCCACCAACCGATTCCAAGTCTTCACTCAAAATGACAAGGCTTCCCATCATGAAGGTGCTGAAAATCTCAGAGAGAAAAGGCAGGCACCAAGCAATCTAAGAAACCATCATATGCGAACAACACACAACACCAAAGCAAACTGGAACTACATCCTCTTTTAGAATGGATAATGTCTTGGCTGGAAGCTCTTGCACCTCCAGAGATGAGTGTCCATCCAGCATGGGATGTGGATGGGAAACCCCATGAATCACACACACGCCATGAGAGATCTCCATCCAGCGATCAGGTGTCTCAGTTAAGTGCTTTCATACTTAGCACCTTTCAAACGGTTTCATCAGACTTTTACTGAGGGCTGAGCACAGGTACCTACTGACGCCTCTACTCCTCCAGGAAGGGTTCAGACTCTACACGAATGTGTCTGCAGCATCCAGACAGGTGCTCACCTCTCCAGTAATGCCAGAGGCACACAGCAAAGTAGAGGCTCCTTAAGCAGCCAACTTAGAGAGCCGGGTTCCCTGGAGTGAGGGCCCTGAGAGCAAACCTGGCCTCCCCCGCTCCCATCCACACCCCCATCCAAAAAGAAACAAGCCCCTGTGTATACCACACTGGTCCAGACAGTGCTCAAATACATGGGGCTGCCAAATGCCAAGTGGACCCACCACACAGATGGAGCGGCACTGGGCCAGGCATGGACACAACCTGGGCACTATCAGCCTCTAGGCAGGGCAGTCCCACACTGTGGATACCAGCCACAGTGACAAGAGGGGGCAGAGAACTGTTTGCCTGCGCCTGGAGCATGATGCCACATTCACTGATAAGGCCCACCTGGTCTCCAGGTGAGTCCTGGCAGAACCAAAGGCACAAAGCAAGGAAACCATCCCGGAGCCAAGAGGCAGAGAAGAGGCAGGAAGGAACAGCCTGCCGTCCGTCTCCTGCAGGGGCCCCAGCTCAAGAGAAAATGTCCTGGCTCTGGTCCAACACCCGGCTGACGGCTCACTGCTGACAGCGGGCCTCCACTTCCGCCGCCTCGCAATGCCAGGCCACTGGAAGTGAGACCCTAGGGCCCAGAAGGCTTGGACATTAAGTATCGCGTTTCCACCAAAGTAGCCCGGGATTTATGGCTGGAAAACATTTGATGAGGGCTAGCTTTTAACAGGGGCAGGTGGACCTACACGGGCCAAGTTCAACACTTCCAATTTACTCCAGGGCTAAGCAAAACCAAGAAGGGAGCAGCGCCCGCCCCCCTAACCCCTTGGGACGGGTTTCACCCCAGCAACAACACTTCTCAACACACGTCGTCAACGTACAGCAGGACACTCTCTCGGCTCAGGATGAGGATCGATCTGTCAAGAGCCCGAAGGTGCCACCCCCCAGCTGCCCCAGGCGGCTGGGCCCTGCCACTGGAACCCAGAGCGTGCCCTCCGCGGGAGACCACAGACGCAACGGCCTGGAGCCACTAGCCGGCCGACCAAAGGATCTATTGTCCGATCGAATTGAGCGCGGACGATCCATCTTCCCGGGCAGCGCTGGTCGTGCTCCGGGCACAGGAGGCGCGGTCAGGCTCCGGCTGCCCGGCCCTGGGCCTGGCTCTCGCCCGTGGTCGGCCCGGCGAGGACTCGGCCCCGCAGAAAAAGCCTGCGAGGAGACCTGGGAGGCCGAGCCGGCGCGAGTGCCTCCCGCGCCCCCAGCCCACGGCGCTGGGCTCACCTTCGATGGCAATGACGTGTTCCCGTATCTGGTTCTGCAGCACGGGCTCCTCCACGCGCTCCAGCAGCTCGTAGATGGAGTAGATGTTGGGGTGGACAGACTCGAAGCGCTGGATCTCGGCCCGGATGGCAGCCGAGTTGGCCAGCTGCTGCTGGTAGTTCATGGTGC